TGTGTGTGTGTGTGAGTGCATGAGTGCGATGTGTCCTATGCATATGACAAGTGTTGATTATTCTATGTGTGATCAATAAATGTGGCGTGTTGACTTATCCCCCTGAAAAAGATCCCGAGTGCTTCTTTTAATACAACAACTGTGGAGAAGAAAAGTGCAGTTTTAATCATCTTAATGGAAATGAAACAAGCGCAGTTGGCTTATGTTCCCATATCCTTTTGAATCCTCCTCTTCCCCCCCCCTTTAATTTTAGGAATTTACGTTTTACACAGAACTGTCCCTTTTTTTTGAGTGCTGCTGCTGCCTGTTTGCCCGCTTCCAAACGAAGCGCGTGATTGCCTTGTGAGTTCGTAACCTCAAGGGTCCGCGGTAGCTACCAAATCGCAATGGTAATTGTGACGGACAATGTGCCCTTCATTACCAGTCTGGGATTGGGCAGATGATCAGGGGAACATCTTCTTTAGATCCATGTATACCTGGGCTGAAAAAAGGCCGGAGTGACCTCCTAGAGAAGACGCATCTGTAGAAAGTGTAGATATGGGATCCATTAGGCAAACTGAAAAAGGAGACTTCTTCTCCCTCATAGTCCAGAAAAACCCCAACCCTCTCTGGTTTATTTTCCAAGGTGATTGTTGTCCGAGGCGTGGAGAGGGCTTTGTACTCTCCGTTCCACAACCTTACGGCCCAGTACCCGTTTTCAGGCTCGATGCTTTTGTACTGCTCCCTGTCGTCTGAGTCAGCACAAACCCCCAGGTGCCACACGGTTTTCTTCTCAAGCTTCACTTCCCAGTAATGTCTCCCGGAGTCAAATTTCTGAGCGCCCAGGACACAGCGATAAGAATCAACAAGATCCGGATTGTTAGGTTGCTCTTCTGCTGCATTTGCACATTTCACGCTTTTTTGGTCCGGTGACACACAAAGTTCAGGGTGTGCTGTTGTGGGATCCAGAGTCACGTTCGCTGGAAGGAAGAAAGTGAGAGTTTCCCTTTTAGTGTGAAGAATCCAAAACTAACCCTCATATAGTCACAACTCGGCATTTTGAAATGTGGTATTCTGGGATGTTAATACCGTTGGGGAAGCCATCGTATTTGGGTAGTGATCAATGGCTCAATGTCAGATTGGTGGTCGGTTTCTAGCGGAGTGCCCGAAGGATCAGTTCTAGGACCAGTTTTGTTCAACATCCTTCTGAAAGACCTGGCTGAGGGGATAGATTGCACCCTTAGCAAGTTTGCAGATGACACTAAGCTGGGGGGAGAGGTAGATACGCTGGAGGGCAGAGATAGGGAACAGAGTGACCTGGACAGATTAGAGGATTGGGCCAAAAGAAATCTGATGAGGATCAACAAGGACAAGTGCAGAGTCCTGCCCTTGGGACGGAAGAATCCCAAGTATTGGGACAGGCTGGGGACCGACTGGCTAAGTAGCAGTTCTGCAGAAAAGGCCCTGGGGGTTACAGTGGATGAGAAGCTGGAGATGAGTCAACAGGGGGCCCTTGTAGCCAAGAAGGCAAATGACATATTAGGTGCATTAGGAGGAGCATTGCCAGCAGATCCAGAGATGTCATCATTCCCCTTTATTCGGCTCTGGTGAGGCCACATCTGGAGTGTTGTGTCCCCCACTATAGAAAGGATGTGGACACATTGGAGAGGGCCTAGCAAGGGCAACAAAAATGATTCGGGGGCTGGAGCACATGACCTAGGAGGAGAGGCTGAGGGACTTGGGTTTGTTTAGTCTGCAGAAGGGAAGAGTGAGGGGGGATCTGAGAGCAGCCTTCAACTTCCTGAAGGGAGGTTCCAAAGAGGATGGAGAGAGGCTGTTCTCAGTGGTGGCAGGTGGCAGAACAAGGAGCAATGGGCTCAAGTTGTGGTGGGGGAGGTCTAGTTTGGAGATTAGGAAAAACGATTTCCCTAGGCGGGTGGGGAAGCACTGGGCTGGGTTCCCTAGGGAGGGGGTGGAATCTCCATCCCTAGTGGTGTTCAAGTCCCATATGGACCAAGCCCTGGCTGGGTTGATGGAGTTGGGTTGGTCCTGCCGTGGGCAGGGGGCTGGACTTGATGACTCCTGAGGTCTCCGCCCGCCCTGGGATTCTGGGAGTCTATATTCCACCCAGCCCCTGGCAATTGTATCATAAGAAGTAGCTGAGTTTTATTGTCTTTGTGTAGGAAATGAGCAGGTTTGGAAGCGTGTTGTTATTGATTTGAATAGCCTCCTCATTCCTTACACCGGCCCATGGGTGTGCTGGGGCGGGGGCACCCGTGGGAAAAGCTGAAAGTCGGGGTCTGTGTGAAGTTCATGAGTAGTGTTTCATCCCCTCTAGGGATTTAGAGAAAGAGGTTTACAATCCATCCGCCCCTGCAGAAAGAACTACCTCCTTTCCCGTCTCTTCCAGCCACCCACGAAGGACAGCGAGTGAAAATCTCAGGAATGGGAATATTATCTCTCTCTATATATAACAGTTTTTTTCCTGCGGGATAACATCATTACATCATCTGTGTCCACAGGCTGGGTGGAGGGCATAGGCGGTAAAAGCCTGTAAAGAAGAGTTGAGGATAACAGGAAAGGCAGGAAGAGAC